AAAAACACCCATTACTAGCACTACCTTATGTAACAGATAGATATCATCAGGAGCATTTTTCAGGAACTTTAAAACTTGTTCTCCTGATAGAACTTTTGATTTCTTGAGAACATATCCTTTGGACTTTACCTTAAGAAATGATATCAGATGATTGAATTGAGAAATGTCGATTTTCTCGTAAACGATCAGCGTAGATCTGAGAATTGAGTACTTGGTCCACAGTGTATTAGGGGAGTATTTTTCCGACTGAAATGATTACAAGGGATGATACGACGGTCAAACCGGTACAAATATACTTTTTTTTAAATGGTAAGGCTATTAGGTGAAACATAAAGCATTGTGTGCACCACAGGCGTTGCGAAGATAATAATGCCCATCAGGCCGAAACCTATCCCTCGGGCCAAAGGCCCTCGGGCTAGTTCGGCCCTCAGGGCATTATAAGGTCCGTAACGCCCTTGGTACATAAATAGCTATTTGGACTAATGGGTTTGAGTGATTAAGGATTTTGGATTTGAATTTGGAGTCTTTTTTGGTGAGGAATTCCTGGATAGTGTCTATTTTTAAGTCTTTGTGCAAGTTCTTATTACGTATGCACCAAGGAGCTCTGCAGATGGATCTAAGGATTTTGTTTTGTGTGGTTTGTATTTTTGTTATGTTAGTTTTGCAGGTAAGAATGAATGCTGAGGCACCGTAAAGAGTATGTGGGCGAATAATTTGTTAGTAGAGGAGCAGTTTGTTTTTGATGGTGAGTTTACTGTTGCGATTAAGTAGGGGGTGAAGGGCTTGCTGCCCTCGCTTTGGTAATTTTATCTTTAATATGTTCGGTGAATGTTAGTTTTTTTGTCTAGAATGATTCCTAAATATTTTGCTTTTTTAGCCCAGGCAATGTTTTCGTTGTGTAAAGTGATGTTTTTTAGTTTGGCGGTTTGTTTAGTAGAATTATAAGACCACTTACGCCGACTAAACATATGAAATAAGCATATAAAATAAGACGTTGTATCGTTTCTGCTATGATCAGCATGATTTACGAATAAAAGTAGCCACGGCAGAAACGATAATTCAGTTAAACAGTCAAAGACAGCTTATGGTTAGGTCCGTTTACTCTAAGTTAAAGGTAAGGTTCGGTCACACACATTTCAAATCCACATCATAAAAATATTGTATTAATTCTGAAAAAAGTGTTTTTAAAAACGTGAGTTTCAAATTAATCAATCAAATTGTAGTGACCATAAGTATTTGTGTTTTTTTCCGCATTGACTTT